ATCTATAAACCATTCTCCAAACTGGCAAAAAAAAAAAAAAAAAAAGGAATGGAAAGCAAGTAACTCAAATAAGAAATGAGATGGACCATATCACAACAGACCCAACTGAAATTAAGAGAATCATAACAGAATATTATGAAAAATTGTACTCCAACAAATTTGAAAATCTAGAGGAAATGGACAAATTTCTAGAAACTCATTACCTACCTAAAGTAACATAAACAGTGGTAGAACAGCAAAATAAAGCTATAACAAAAGAATACATTGAAAAGGTAATTCAAAAACTCCCCTTCCCGAAAAAAAAAAAAAAAAAAAGCCATGGCCTTGATGGTTTCATTGGAGAATTCTACCAAACTTCCAGAGAAGAGTTAACACCACTACTACTAAAGGTATTTCAGAGCATAGAAAATGATGGAATACTCGCAAATTCTTTCTATGAAACCAGCATATCCCTGATACCAAAATCAGGTAAAGACACCACAAAAAAAAAATTACAGATCAATATCCCTCATGGATGTAGATGCAAAAATCCTCAACAAATATCTAGCCAATAGAATTCAACAACATGTCAAAAAAATAATTCACCATGACTAAATGGGATTCATACCAGGTATGCAGGGATGGTTCAACATTAGAAAAACAATCAATGTAATCCATCACCTAAATAAAACAAAAGACAAGAAACACATGATCTTACCAAGTGATGCAGAAAAGGTATTTGACAAAGTTCAACACCCATTCATGATAAAAACTCTCAGCAAAATAGGAATAGAAGGAAAATTCCTCAGCATACTAAAGTGCATTTATACAAAGCCAACAGCAACATTGTCCTAAAAGGAGAGAGTCTGAAAGCATTCCTGTTGAGAACAGGAACCTAACAAGCATGCCCTTTATCACCACTATTATTTATCATTGTTCTGGAGGTGCTAGCCAGAGCAAATAGGCTAGAAAAAGAAATAAAGGGCATCCAAATTGGTAGGAAAGAACTCAAAGTATGTCTATTTGCAGATGATATGATCTTATCCACAGAAAACCCCAAAGAATCTGCAAGAAAACTACTGGAACTAATAGAAGATTTCAGCAAAGTATCAGGATACAAGAGAAACATACAAAAATCAGATGGATTTCTGTATACCAACAAAGAGAACTTGGAAGAGGAAATCACCAAATCAATACCATTTACAATAGCCCCCAAGAAGATAAAATACTTACAAATAAATCTAACCAGAGATGTAAAGGACCTATACAAAGAAAACTACCAGCCACTACTGCAAGAAACCAAGAGACTTGCATAAGTGGAAAAACATACCTTGCTCATGGATAGGTAGACTCAACATTGTGAAAATGTCAATTCTACCCAAAGTGATCTACAGATACAATTCAATCTCCATCCAGATTCCAACAGCATTTTTTAATGAGATGGAGAAACAAATCACCAACTTCATATGAAAAGGGAAGACGCCCCGGATAAGTAAAGCATTACTCAAGAAGAAGAACAAAGTGGGAGGCCTCACAGTACCTGATTTTAGAACTTATTATACCACCACGATAGTCAAAACAGCCTGGTACTGGTACAAAAACAGATACATAGACCAATGGAACGGAATTGAGAATCCAGATATAAATTCATCCACCTATGAGAAGTCGATATTTGACAAAGGCCCAAAGTCCATTAATTGTGGAAAAGACAGTCTCTTTAACAAATGGTGCTGGCATAACTGGATATCCATCTGCAAAAAACTGAAACAAGACCCATACCTCACACCATGCACAAAAAATAAATCAAAATGGATCGAAACCTAATATAAAATCAAAAACAATAAAGATCATGAAAGAAAACATAGAGACAACGCTAGGAGCCCTAATACACAGAATACAAAACATAACTAACAATGCACAAACACCAGAAGAGAAACTAGATAACTGGGAGCTCCTAAAAATCAAACAGTTATGCTCATCAAAATACTTCACCAAAAGAGTCAAAAGACAACCTTCAGACTGAGAAAAAAATTTTGGCTACGACAAATCCAATCAGTGTGTAATCTTTAAATCTACAAAATACTGCAAAACCTCAACACAAAAAAACAAATAACAATTAAAAAATGGCAAAGGATTTGAATAGTTACTTCACCAAAGAAGGCATTTAGGTGGCTAACAGATACATTAGGAAATGCTCACAATCATTAGTCATTAGAAAAAAATCTAAATCTAAACTACAATAATATACCATCTCACCTGAAGAAGGCTAACATTAATCCAAAAACCACAAAATGATAAATATTGGAGAGGGTGTGGAGAGACTGGAACACTTATACACTGCTGGTTGGAAAGTAAAATGATAAAACCACTTTAGAAATTGATTTGGCACTTCCTTAATGCTAGAAATAGAAGTACCATATGATCCAGCAATCCCATTCCTTGGAATATATCCTAGAGAATTAAGAGACATCACACGGATAGATATATGCACACCCATGTTCATTGCAGCACTGTTCACAATAGCAAAAAGATGGAAACAACCTAGGTGCCCATCAACGGATGAATGGATAAACAAATTATGGTATATTCAAACAATGGAATACTACGTAATGATAAAGAACAGTGATGAATCTGTGAAACATCTCATAACATGGATGAATCTGGAAGGAATTACGCTGACTGAAATTAGTAAGTCACAAAAGGACAAATATTGTATGAGACCATTATTATAAGAACTCAAGAATAGGTTTAAACAGAATATTCTTTGATGGTTATGAAGTTAAGGAGGGAGGGTAAGGGAATTCACTAACTATATAGTAGACAAGAATTATCTTAGATGAAGGGAAGGACAACACACAATACAGGGGAAGTCAGCACAGCTGGACTAAACCACAAGCTAAGAAGTTTACGGAACACAACTAAATATTTCGAGGGACAAGGTAGCAGAGGCAGGGGTCTGGGGACCATGGTTTCAGTGACCTCTAGGTCAACTGACACAACAAAGTTTATTGAGAAAATGTTCCACATCCCACTTTGGTGAGTGGCATGTGGGGTCTTATAAGCTAGAGATGGACCATCTAAGATGCATCAACTGGTCGCAACCCACCTGGAGCAAAGGGGAATGAAGAACATCAAAGACAAGAGGAAAATATTAGCCCAACAGACAAAAGGGGCCATGTAAACCAGAGACTCCACCAGCCTGAGACCAGAGGAACTAGATGATGCCCAGCTACCACCAATGACAGCCCTGTCAGGGAACACAACAGAGAGTCCCTTACAAAGCAAGAGAAAACTGGGCTTCAGAACTCAAATTCTAGTAAAAAGACCAGACTTAATGGCCTGACTGAGACCTCATGGACCCCAGACTCTCTGTTAACCCAGAACTAAAACCATTACTGAAGCCAACTCTTCAGACAAAGAATAGACTGGACTATGATACATAAAATGATACTCGTGAAGAGTGTGCTTCTTCGTTTAAGTAGATACAGGAGACTAAATGGGCAGCTCCTGTCTGGAGGCGAGAAGCGAAGGCAGAAAGAGATAGGAGCTGGCTGAATGGACGCAGGAAATCTGAGGTGAAAAGGAGGCATGTAAGGTTACATTACAGGGATAGCAACTAGGGTCACATAACAATGTGTATATAAATTTTTTTTATGAGAAACTAACTTAAGCTGTAAACTTTGACCTAAAGCACAATAAAATAATAATAAGAGGGGAGAGATGAAAATGAAGGAGGGTATGGTCCAAACTGTGCTTACCAATCTTTCCCCAGCACATAGCACAGTGCCTGGCACTGAATTGGTGCTCAGTGTGAGAGGATGGAAGAAAGAGAGAAAGAGAGAAACAGAGTGTAAGAAGGAAGGAGAGACAGAAGGACGAAATAATTGAAAATATAAGAGACATTGACCATTATGACCTTGGGAACATATGTGAAATATCCTCAACTCTTAATTTTCAAGCCCCATCTTCCCTCCACCCAAAACAAACAAAAGACTGCGTGTAAAAACTGTTGAGATCCAAGTAAGATCTGTAGTCTAGTTAAGTATATTGCACCAATGTCAGTTGGTTTTGATAATGTTCTGTAGTTATATAAGATACTAATATAGGATGAAGCTGGATGAAAGGAACATGAGGCTTCTTAGTATACTTTATATAACTGCTTGTTAGTCCATAATTAGTTCAAAATACAAAGTTTAAAAAAATGCCAATGCAGGTTGCAGAACACTTCCGTTCCCTTGTTCTATCAGACGTCTGTCCTTACTCTCTTTTGCAGTTTACCAGCCTGGAATTGAACAGGGTAACCTCTGGGGTGAGGTTGACTTGGTTAGTTAGAGCAGTTTGAAAGACATATCTCTTAATTTCTGACATGTTCCAAAAAAACTTTATTTCTTTAATGTCCCAAAATGTTATTTTTTTAGATGTATAAAAATTCACAAGTTTTCCATTTCAAAACCTCTTATTTTATGAGCTGGTGTATCAAATGACCTAAAAATCTTATCATCTTTATATTAAAATTGTCTTTAAATTTCCTGCATATGACTTATTCAAATCATTAAAATTCACCATGACTAACTCTTCGTTCCACAATACATAATTCAACTCTTTTCTATTTTCTTATCATTATTATTATGAAATAGATCAGGTTTGGAGAATTCATAGTTAATGGGACAGCTCTCTAAAATTTGTGAAATATAAGATTATAATGAAATAGTTGAATTCTGACCTACAGTGAATTCATTTACTCTATTATTTTGAAAGAGGTTCTAAGTATATTTAGAATAAAAGATGATTAAGAAGAGGAAGTTGTGAAATTTTTAGATAATTTGGTAACAGCTATGTTTCATCATCTAGTTTGGTACTGAGACTGGAAGCTCGTATGCATTATTTCACTTTTTAAACAAATACCCACAGTATGTGTATCTTTCCCTACAACTAATTGATGACACCTAGACACCTTGTGAATGCCTACTTCAGCTTTTCTTTCTCCATATACTTCCCCCATTTTTTCTTCATTGTCTTACCTCAACAGTTTTGCTTCTCGTATTAGACTGAACAACTGCCGCAGGAAGAATCATTATTTTTTCTAGTATAAAAAGCTGGTCCATTTCTGAGTTAATTGTAAGAGGCTCACATAACCTGCAGAAAGAAAAGAGGAAAACACAAGTGAAGTTCCATTTCACTTGAATTCCAAAACCTAAATGTAGAAAACAGTCCAAAATGAATGAATACTAGATTTATTCAGAACGTTTGTACTGTGGAAGGAGACACAATTCATGGTCACTACTTTTAAGTTTTCAAAATATACCTCTGAAGGTAATTCCATTCAGCATTTGTGTAACACTACTCTTATCAAAATGATTTCATTTAAATCAACCCATCAGACCACAAAAATCCTGTCGCCAATCTGAACAATGGTCATCTTGAAAAATTAAGTTTTCAGAAGACTCATTTTTTTATGAAATATCTTCCTATAACATACAATCAGTACAGATAAAAATAATGTTTGATGTTCTTCCCAATCATACTGGCCAACAATATACATGTATTGATACAATTTCTATAGCACCACACACACACACAGTATATATCAACAGGTCACTGACCATGAAATAAAGTTGCACAGGGAAGCTTAGATTATAGGGAAGAATCACAGGGATTATCCATTTTTCCTCTGATATTTTATTTCAGCCTAACCAAGTCATACATCTCAATCCTGCTAGCCCTTTATATCCTAGTCTTAGTCCTTTGACATCTTCCTTGCCTGCCTCAGACCAACTGGCTTCATAGCACTGATGTTCATATCATCTCTAATCCAAAGAACTCACCGTTTACAAGTAGTCTGTTGTGTTTTAACCTTGGCCTCTCCACATAGTCCTTAGCATGGCACTGAGTTCTGCAGGAATTCTTCCCCTAACTCCAGTCTTGGGAAAGGAAGCAAATCTCAGAGCCTATCTGTTCTGTTAGTGATGGTCAGGGACAGGATGCCTAGCAGTGTGGGTAAATTATGAAGGAAGAAGAAAGAGCTCAGTGTCAGAAAAGTAGTCAACATGCAGTGAGGACTGAAAATGACACCTGTGGACAGAGGATGAATCACAGCACAATGACATCATTTATGTCAAAGAAATTTAGGACCCAAAGAAGCAAGAACAGGAGGAAGTCACTGCTTGATGTGGATTCTGTACATCCAGATTCATTACAACTATATTTAAATCTAAGAATTACAGAGACACTTATAGTTCTGCATGAGCAAAGAGAAAGAGGAAGACAATATCCACAATGTGTCACTAATCTCACAAAAGAAGCCCTGGTTAAGCACTCAGCTGCTAATTGAAAGGTCTGTGGTTCAAGAGCACCAGTAGCACTGGTAACTTCCTCTTGTAAAGAATACAGCCTAGAAAATCTTATGGGTAAGTTCTCCTCTGTCCTACAGGGTTACTACGTGTCAGAAAATGATTTAACACCTCACAACAACAATTTTTTCCCAAATAGGGGAAACCTGGAAAGAAGTGGATGCTGCTTTTGCAGATACAGCATGGGATGAAGGGAAATGATACATTCTGAGAAGATACCTCCCCAAGAAGCAGGAAGTTCTCAAAGACTCTTGCTGAGAAGTCTTCCTTTTGGGGGACACTGACCTGGGACAGAAGATTAGTTTGTCAACAGTGTGGGCTTCCTTCTTCTGAAACCCTCCCCAGTGTACATAAAAGACTGGGCCAACAGTCAAGATACAACAATAGCAAAAAAAAAAAAAAAAAAAAAAAAACCTAATCGTCACCCTCTGTTTGAACAGTCACAGTTCACAACAGTTTAGAAAATATCAGTGAGTATTACAATGAGGAGAGCCCAGCTCTGAAACGTTCATAGGCCATAAACATACACTCTGATGAGAAATATTACCATTTCCCATGGAAAATAAATCTATACACATTCACACATAAGTTTATGTAATTTCATGATTTCAGCAACATTATTTAAGAATTTTTGAATAACTCAATTTCCTTGTAAGAGGTTAAACTCAGAGGAAAAAGAGTAAGATCTTAGTATGGAATTTAGAATACTTAAGAAAAATATGGAAAAATTGAAAATGAAAATAGGAAAAATTGGTAAGAAAATGAAAGCCAAGATTAATAGGTTGAGTAGAATAGTCAAACCTCTTTGAATACAACTTTAAACAGATGAGTAATCTAGTAAGCCTGGATAATACCCAAAGGATCAATAGAAAGACTCCAAAGATGGGCGGCGGGAAGGGAGTAGAAAGAGAAATAAATGTAGAAGGTCTTAGTAGAAGCTGAGTTGGCTATGCAAACACCCAAAATACATATTAAAATTACAAGATGAAATTTAGCTTACCCAAGAGAGCAGAGAGAGATAGCAGCTAATAGTGGTAAAATCAGAAAGACAAAAGCCAGAAATGAGATGTAAATTGCAAGACAAAAAAAACCATGTATTAAGTTTGCAAATACATAAGGGACGAGAGACTACTACAAGTATGTTGTCTCTTTATATTGCTTTTTAATAAATAATGAGAAAAATCCATTAACAACTTATAACTGAATGAGGATCTATATTATAAAGTTCCTAGCAGTAAACCATAACAATGATAGTCATAATATTACCCATATGTCATTATAACATACAATGTCCAATGACCTAAACATGAAACTTTGTATTCATTCATTCTTTCATTTCCTCATTACTAATTGAGCATTTTAGTGGACATATTAAATTAATTAAATCCACATAAAGTACTCAATAAATATTACCAATTAATATTCTGATTATTATCAGGTATTTCTGCTTGCCCAGCATCCATTCCCTGGTTCAGGCAAGAAAACCACTTTTCTCCCTTTGAAAAACACTCTCAATCTACTCTCAACCCATGGGGGTCAGGAGGGGCTGACCTCACCTCTAAGTTTCTGGAAGGTCTCCTGCCAACTAAGGCAGTCAGCACACCACACTCCTAAGCTATGGAGGTGGACTTAGGAGTTAGCATGTGATCTGAACCGATGGTTGGAATATTTTCTGAAAGATTCTCTGTCTAAGACTGGAGTTATCAAGTATCAGATAAGCCTGGAGCAATCACTACCCTCTTGGCCATCACTTGAGCACAACATATCTAAAAGTAGAAGCAACAAATGAAGAAATCATCCTAAGGACAGAGTTTCAATCCAGGGGCCAACTGTGATGAAACCACACATCACTATCTCTGGACTTTTCAGTTACATGAGTCACTGATTTATTTTTCTTGCATAAGATGGTTTGAGTTGTATTTTTTTTGCTTGGAACAGAAAGTCCAGGCCAAAAGATGTGTCTTCCATGTGCATACTGTGTGCAAGAAATATATTTGTGTCTAAGACAGAGTCCCTGCCCTCAAGGAGCACAGAGTGTACGGAAGATGACTGGCATTAACAAATAACTACAAGTGCGGTGAGAGTTATAAGGGAGGAGCTGAGGTTTTTCAATGGAAAGCTTTACCAACAAGTACATCTCACCTGGTCTGAGAGATCAGGGAAGAGGTTCTGAAGGAAGTGACACTTGATTTTAAATACAAAGGGGGTAAAAGAGTTCATCTAGGTTAAACACCAAAAAACAAAATGCTTTTATGCATACACAGCACTGGTACAAAGTCCTTCTCCATACGTTGTATAAAAAGTAACTTTGACTTGTCTATTAGAATAAGTAATACTGGAAATGGAATGTCAAGGATATACACTAAAAATAAATGAATGATCCTATAGATTAAAGAGATCTGTGAGATACATTAATTTCTATAAACAACTAGGAATCTTGTATAAGGAGATGGCTAAAGTAAATGTAGAAATTTTCATGAACATACAATGGCAAACATGTTCCAGTGATGGGTATATTCTGGGAGAAGTGACAGCATGGGGACAGTTTAGATGGGAGGACTATTCCACTGAAAGTTTCAGGTGTGAGAAGTTCTGGAGACTGCAAAGTACTATGTGATCTTAGAGAAGTCACGGAAGTGTTTAGGTATCTATTTTTAAATCTATAAAATGACAGAGTTATAGTTATATGATCTCTTAGAACCTTCCACTCATTAAATTCTAGAGAAGTGTCTTCAGTCTACCTTGTCAAATTTTAATTCTGACATGTTAAAATATCATTCAGACACTTATAAAGTGCTACTTCTCCATGTTCATATTTCACTAGGGCCTTTGTGTTGATTATTCTCCACTTGTAGGATTATGAACTATCTAGAAAACTTGATATTTAAAGAAAAGTAGAAACTGAAGTCATGTTTAGCATTGAAGAACAAAGAATATTGGCATAGTGCCGTGCTTTTAAAATTGCTTCTTAGTTCAAGCAGACACATGAGTCCAAATGGGGCAGCTCCTATCTAGAGGCAGGAAGGGACAGGAACCGGTTGAACGGACACAAGAAACTCAGGATGGAAAGGGGAAACCTGCTGTCACATTATAGGGATTGCAACTAATTTCACGTAACAGTATGTGTAAAACTTTTTGTATGAGAAATTAACTTGAGCTGTAAAGTTTTACCTAAAGCAAATTTTAAAAAATCAAGCTGCAATCCCAAAACTATTCTTAGAAATGTATGTGGATTGAGAAATCATGTGAAATTAAAATAAAGACATGTGGTATAACCATAAAATAATGTGTCATATTTCAAAATAAACATACCAAGTGGGCATGGTGTCCTTCAAAGAAGTGCCTGTGTTGTAGGGGGTATGATCCCCTCATCTGAGACTTGCTGCCTTGGGCATACATGAAGTATTATTGGAAACTGATTTTTCAAAATTGTCTTTAGAGTTATAGACTCATTATAAACTTAATGGTGATAAAAAGAGCACTGGTGGCACAATACGTAAGCACTCGACTGCTAAACGAAAGGTCAGTGTTCCTCTGCTGAGAAAAAGAATTGGTGAGTACAGCCTAAGATACCCTATGGGGCAAATCTACTCTGTTCTACAAGGTCTCTATGAGTAAGAATCTACTCAACAACATAACAGTGGTGCTAAGAGGCATTGGTAACATAATGATTAATTGCTTGGCTGCTGAAGGACAGGCTGGCAGTTTGAACTCACCCAGTGGCTCCAAGAAGAAAGTCCCGGATATCTGCTCCTGTAAAGATGATGGCCTAAAAAACCTTATGGA